AAGAGAAACCTGTTCTCGTAAAGAATGTACGAAGCGTGAAGCTTAAGGAAAGTGAGGACTTCGACCGTGCACGGCACAGGACTGATAGACCCAAAAGCAAAGAATGAAAGACTGTGGAGGTTGGAAAGAGAGAAGGATGAGGGAGGCGAGAAGGGGGTTTTAAATGCTTTCAGTGGCACAATGCATGTCAAAGTTACCATTCAATCCATCTGGCTGGGACAAATGGAGCCACACAATAGATTTCTTCCAGTGGAGTGGATGGGACAATTGCCATTGGACATTCGGGCGCCATGCGTGGTGGCTATTCATCATAACCATGAATTCCGTCAGGGCAAAAACCTCTCCATTCTCTCATTGGCAGTGCGGACCAGGGGGAGGCGAAGAAGGGCGGTCCAGTATGGGACGGTTGACAGCACAGGAACCACGGTGATTGGGTTGAACCGAGCGTTCTTTGCATTTCCAATGAAAATCACCGTGCAGACGCCAGAAAGAGAGAGATTAGCATCTCGTCTTACTCCACAGCCAAGATCGCAGTCCACTTTCCGTTCACTCCACAATAGCCTGGACCGCGATGGAGTATCTATTACATCCATTGTCCGATTATGCAATTTTGGGGGAGACGCCAGAGGTTACTTAGAAACTCCGTTAATGGTGCCTGACAAAGTGCCAGTGGTCAATGGTGCCAACATAGGAGGTGTCAATAATTGACTTACCCCTGACAGGAACAAAGTGAGAGATGAATAACATCACACTGAAGTGGAGGAGAGGAACCGCGGATGCGCTTGCGTAGGCAGTGGATGTTCCCTGGTTCCTGGTCAGGGCATCACATATGATTGGCCCTTCCGCACTACATCATCGCTGGATCCCCGACTAGCCAATCACAATGCTTTGTCCTTGATCTAACCCTAGGTACAATTAATGAAACAAACATTACACACTACACGCTAATTTTTGAGGTTACAATGTGTGTGTTCTAGCCCTAGAGGTCCATCGCAGTGACAATGATCTATAACAGCCAGATCGCATTTCAAATATGACACACCGACAGAAGTGCCACAATGGATCAATAGCGGCCACTCATAGCGATCTGGGACAACTACCGATCGACATGTTTCACTGAGACCCAGCCCTTCTCCCCTCCTGCCTATTATCCAAGTGTGCCTCCTTGCTGGATCAACCGGGACCAGTTCCTACCTGAGGGGCGGTTGAAACCACACTAACCCCTCTTCAGCCCCTGCCGATCGCTGGAACCGAGCCAGCAAGAGGGTAAAAACGGCGAGACAAGCCTTACCGGACTCTTTACCGGTGTTTCCTACCCGGTCCATCGCCTTCTAGCCTTCTGTGGAGTTCTAGCGTGCTTGGCTGATCTCCGCTATTCGCCAATTTGGAACAAACGCTGGGCAATTGAAGGCGTGCAATTGTCCTTTTTGCCGGGCTCTGGTCTGGTGCCACCGAGTTCTAATACGTCTTTAAATGGGGACTGAATGGTATTCCCGGGATCCCGATAGGTCAGTGGGGTTTTTGAAGTACCGGTACAGTGAAGGATCTATGGCATGGCAGATAGCATACCAAATCGCGAGTCTCAGATTAAAATCTAAAAGAATTGTGTACTCCCCGGATTTGCCGTTTTCCTTGGGGTTTCCATGATTTCCAGGAACCCCGATGGTGGCCACGAATTCGCCATGAGATCACAACTTAGTAACCCCGCTTCAGTCGGGCACTATTCCGAACAAATGCCGTGATGTTCACAGGTGGCTCTTGTGCTTATCTAAAACACACCATAAATCCTTTGTCCCTGTACCCTGCCAGTCCACGTGGATGTAGACGTAGACAAAGGGACCCGGATGTCTAATTTGACCCTAACCAACCCTAGATTTTCCCGGAGTATTATTATCGAATTAACAACTCCGATAGAAAAAGAAAACATAATGAGCCTACTGCAGCTGAGGTTGTTCTGGTACTATTACAAACTAACGTGGCTCTTGACTCGCCTCCCACTAGCGCCCAGCCCACGTCATCCTGCTTCACTTCCAACACTTAGTAACTCCGGAAGTGAACGGAAACTGAGACTTGCTGAGTACTTTCTCAATAATCAGTCCGCCGTCGCTCTCGGTGTTCTATTTACACTATCCATTTGACATGTCCTCCAAAGTCCCTCCCAGGCCCGAATAGTCCCCGAGCTTCAAGACAAAGGCACTGACACTATTGCGCACCATTTTTAGATTGATTCCGCGCGGCCTTGGGCTAACAGACGTCTATGACACCACCTTCCACGTCTTCGGGCGATGCTAGTTTATTGCGTATCTGTCTACGGTCGCCGATACGAAGGCTTGGATAGGTCGTTGTCGTTGACTGATTCGAGACAATGCCAGCGCATGCTACCGCAACAGGTGTTTCCTTTGTCGCCCGGTCTTTGTCGCTGTTGCATGCTTTCGACGCGGTTTCTTGGTTCCTGAAACACGCTTCCGTCTATGCATCATAAATTGAGGCCAATGAACGCCAGGTTGCTGGCAATTGTGTTCTCGTCCTCGGTGCCTGGGTCTAGGCTGCTATGTGGCTACCACTGCCTGCGCCTGGTCCGTGTCTCCTGCATATATTGGATATCTTCTAATTATAGCTCTTGGAAGGAGCCATCTCCTAGCTAATCTCCAAAAATACCATCCTGCCTCGGCTCCGCCATAGGTTAGCTACTGACGGGATCTTTTGGGCTCGAGTCCTCGGGCCGGTGCTTCAAATAAATGTGGCATTGGTATAATTATTGACTCCTGAGCATCATTCAAATAGTACCTATTCCCCGACCGATTTTCGAACAGTATAATGTCTTAAGCCCGGTTCTTCGTCCCTTGTCCCATACTCCGTCGGCTAATGTTCATTCAACATCCTTGAGTTCATGTCCTAGTTGAAGCTCAACTCTCTTTTTTCCCGAATATCAGATCTTCGTCTTACAGAGAGAAACCTCGGAATCTGTTCCGCTATACCCAGATCTGTACTTGGTGGTCTGCCATGTCAGTGTTCACAATTGTAGTCCACCTCCTAATATTCAAGTTTATCTATGAAAACAATGTCTCTGAATCTCAACAACATAATTCAGGCCATTCCTCTTCTGCTCCACATGTATACTCTATGCCAACAAATACAATACCGCATTGAGCGAACACGGAAACATGGAACCTGAGCCTATCCGTCGCCCAATCAGCAATACTGCCCATAATCACCCGCAATAGGAAAGCGGTGAATACCGATGATGTAAATTATTCCCTCTCCACATCATCATAGCTCGACCTGCATAGCTCTCTGCTACATCTCTCTCCACACTTTCTCAACATTCATTCACTTAGTACTCAGTAACAATGCTCTCTCGCACAGCCCCCAGAGCTCTGCTCGCAACAGTGCGCCCATCTATTCGCACAACAGCACCCACCAGCTCAGCGCTGCTCTCGCAAACCCGCACCCTCCGCCCCAACTCCGGGTCACAATTCTCACGCTCCTTCCAGTCTTCTCCGGTCATTTACAAGGGCATCCACCCTGAATCTGCAGACCCTCCTGCTCCCAACCCTCAATCTGCACCCGTCGCCGGTGCCGCCGCCCATGTCACTGAGCCTACGCCGTTGACGGCTGAGGAGTACTATGAGTACTCAGAACACTATTTCAATGTGCTTCTAGCCGAGCTTGAGAAGTCACAGGAAGAGGGCTCGGATGTGGAGGCTGAGTATAGTGTATGTATTCCCGTTGCGTTTACACAAATCTGCCTTCTGGATTTGTTTCCTATCTTTATTTCACCCCACCAACCCCCCTCTCTTTCCCCTTTTATCACATCAACTCTTAAATTAACATTCTCTTCTCCTCACCAGGCTGGTGTCCTCAACATCTCCGTCCCCGCAATCGGCACCTTCGTGCTGAACAAGCAACCACCCAACAAGCAAATCTGGCTCAGCTCCCCCATCTCCGGCCCTAAGCGGTACGACTGGATCGTCGAAGGCGACTACATGCACGAGAAGCAGGATTCGCGGCCCTTCGCTAGTGGACAGTGGATTTACCTGCGTGATGGATCGAATCTGACTGAGCTGTTGAACTCGGAGTTGTCATTGAGTCTGCCCAAGGATATCTACAGCGAGATTATTGAGTAAATTTCGCACTAGGCTCTGTTTTACCTAGAATATTAGCATCAAGATCAAGATAGGTGGGCTCTGTTCCACTTGTGTCTTTTGTTACATATTGTATGTCTAGTTGTTTAATGCGATTGCATTTGTGTCGCTCATTGATTATGATTCCTTGTAGTAGCTGAAGATATTCACTGCCAGATAAAAAGGACTCTGGACTATAGCAAGATATGTGTGTGAACAGTGGGTATCATTGATGAATGCAAAAGTCGGGTATAAAGCAGTCTTCGTCCGTTCACTCATAACCAAAAGAGCGAGCGAAGTCACAGTATGTCCAGTTCCAAAGTGCAAATGAGATATTCAAAGCTTCCTTGTCTGAAACAGACAAACAAAGCGACCAAAAGACAGTCTCAGATCGAGTATTGAAACCATGTCTTGCCAAGTATACCCACACCCTCGAAGCAAGACTCGACTGAGACAAAGTCGGCAGCATCCGAGTCAACGTCAGATATGCCATCACGGCTGAAAGCTACACACTAGGGCGGGTCTGTCTGTTGTATCCGCGTTCACTTCGAGGAAATTCGTGTGCATGGGAGCACTAGGCGCAGGACGCAGAACAGCGGGGCAAAGACCATGTGTTCCCAATATTGAGGCGCATGCGGTGGAGTGGATAGATGTTGTAGCAGACGATACGCCAAGCACCATCCAAGTCAAGGACCAAAGCCAAGAGTGCTCGCAGTCGCCAAATGCCCAAAAGCCGTTTGCGCCGAGAGGAACTAACTGCAAGCCGAGGCAACCTCCAAAGTGCCAACTCGGTCGCCGGCGTTGTCTCCAAATCCTCCAGGTATATTCTGCATAGGTTCTCTTTCTCCTCGCGACTCTCGTAATTCATGCGCCAGCTCACGCATCAGCTTTAGGAAGATCGGCCTATAAGCCCACAATTAGCAAAAGCAACACTAAACACAGAAAAACAAAAGAGTCATACCGCATCAAAGATAACTCGAATCATAAGACTACAACTTGGACAAACGCCAATATCCTCACCATCGCGCAAATCATCGATTGCGATCTCGAAGCGATCGCCACATGGGCATGGATAAGTGTAGATCTGGAGGTTTGGATCAAAGGTCATATCCTCGATCTCGATTTCATCGTAGATGTTGAGCCCCTCGTCGGCCATGTTGGATGTGAACGGGAAAGAATGAAGATGTGGCGAAAATAATACGAGCTCCGGAGTAAATTCTATATTGACTCTTTTTGGTGGCGGACGGAAAAAAGTTTGGGAGGTCATGTGATTCGGGGTTAAGGTGGGGTTAAGATTTGGTTGTATACTTCGATGTTCATGTATGTCTTCTATGGATATTTATTGCAGTTTTAGGGCCTTTTGAAACTCGATATGGGCCAAAGACTTGAACTATAGCCTTGGATGAAAAGTCGAAGGAAAAGAACGGCACATAAAGAGGAACTTGCCGAGCAGGGCAGTGTGCTTAGACTAAGTTTAATGTAGCTTATTTCCAAACTAAATACTCTTAATAGATACAAGCTGTAAACTCCCTGTGCTAATGCCTGGCCTCCGAAGCCAATCAGGGTTCTCCCACGCACTATGTACACAACTCAGCTATGGATGTCACTTATGTACCTGCGCAACTACGCATCATTCGCCAAGCCGTGCGATTTCCATCTTTGTAGATTCCACTTCTCTTGCGAGTACCCCATACCGACGAGCAATCTCCGCTAAAGACCCTCCATCTGCAGGAATATCTCTAGCTGATCCTGACACCTCCACGTCTCCGTATGTTTCCAGCTCTTCAATCGCCATCTTGCGCCGATCCTCCAGACGCTCCTTCGTCTGCCGAAGATGTTGCTTGTACCGAGTAAGCGCAGCAATTGTTTCGGGTGTATAGATAGTAGCGGCGATCTCGAGTTTCATAACCCTGCAATGCACCCCGTTAGCAAATCCCAACTCGACAGCAGCTGAGAAAACAACAGCGTAATAAGCAACTTATAAGTAAGGGCAAGACATACTCCAACTTCCCCTCAATGCCCTGCGCAACCGTAGCGAGATGATCCGCCTTGGCCCTAGTAGCCCGAGCCAAAGCCCCATGCTTCGCCCGCTCCAGAATCACAACCGTCCGCTCCAAAACCTTCGCGCGCACAGCAACAACTCCAGCAGCCGTGGTAGCCATCTCCCGACGCGCCGCAGGCAACTCAGACAACTGTATGCGGCGCAGCGCGCGAACCCGACTGGCAAGCTGTTCCGAAAGAAGCGGGACAGGGGCCATAGAAGTCCGAACTCGGCGGTCACGGGCTCGAGTGCGAGCATTATGGTTCAAACGTGATGAGGCAGACGCCCCTGGACCTGGATCTGGGTCCGTGGGAGAGTCCTCGGTCGCGGCTAGGGCGCGGAGATCACGGAGGGCTGATGAGAGCAGGGTGGTGAATGGGAGGATGAAGCCTGGGATGTTGGAGTAGAAGGCTTCGAAGTCAGGGGCGAGGAGGGAGAGTGTCTCGTCTTGTTTTGTGTTGTCTTCGGAGTCTGGTTTCGGGGTATCGAGCTCGAGGGCGCGGCGGGGGGTTTCGAGATAGAGGGTTATTATTGCGAGATTATCGTGGCACTGTGTAGGATTGCATTGTGAGATTCCTTGTGTTCTGTCTTGGTGGGTTGTCTGGTGCCCGGGGCTGTACTGTACCTCCGCGGGTAGGCCGCTGTCTGGGGCGAATGCTAGCTGGCGCAGTGTTCGCTCTTTGATTCGCTTCTTTGCATTTCGGGTTTGGCATTGCTTGAGGTCCTGGCAGGCAATAGTGTCAGAGCTTTGGTTTCATGCTGACACTCGTGTATGGCTTTCCAGTGGCGAGTTGGCGACTCACTTCCACAACAGCTGTGCGCGCTGGAGTTGCGCTTTGAGCACGCGTTGAGCCATCTGGCTCTAGGAGGTTCTTTGTTAGGTTTTCGTATAGTCGTTTGAATAGAGGATTGTGCTCAAGAATGGAGGGGTCGCAGGGAGGTATCATGTTGATGTTGCTGAGAAGAGAAGGTCACCGCCAGAAGACACCCGCGCCAATTATAGAGCTACATTGAACATCTAGAATTAACGTTATGCATACATTAGAGCTACATGGATTTACAAGGTAAAAGTACATATTCAGTTTGCATTTGCGCGTTTCTTTCGTAATCATACAAGATGAAGCTCGAATCGAGTCTCGGGTCAACTCCCGTTTTCCACCTGCAACGTCGGAGAAAAGAAAAAAAGGCGGCCTGATCCACGTAAGTGGAAAGACCATTTGGGAAGAAAATTGTGCACTTGGGCATAGGGAAAAAGTTCAATCGATCCAGTAAATGGAAACATGTTGGGCCAATCTTGAGCAATAGGTTCACAGGTAACAAAACCTTGCTGAGTCCAGGGTCTCAAAGTATGTACAGACGTTGTCGGTGGGTTGCATGGCAACTCACCAAACTCGGTGTGATTGAGAAAGAATGGGGGAAATATCAGAAAAGCACAGGGGAAATCGACGCTTAGAACGCAAATCAACGAAAAGGGCCACCTTTGATGGGAAAGAATGGCAAGGTCCGACGGAGTATCTACTCCTCCTCGCTCTCTTCCTCGGAGGAGTCCGAGTCATCGTCGCTGCTTTCATTGTGTTCAACCGAAGGCATTGGCTCCGGGGAGTGGCCGCCGCCACCCTGGAAGCGGGAAAGGTTGTTCTGGAGCATGTTGATCTGAGCCTCCTGCTCAAACTTGCTCATTGGCTTGTTCTTCTTGGGCTTGGGCTGCGCAACGGTGCTGCTGACAGGAGTGTACTCCTCTTCGAGGTCATCCCCGAGACCAGGCACGTTCTTCTTGACAAAGGCAAGCAGCAGGAACAGGACGTTGTTAGGGAGCTCATCAATGTCTAGCTCAATCTCGGCTTCATTGGTACCCTGGAAAATAGATGGTTAAAACATGCCGTGATTGTAAAGTTCATATATAAAACTTACCTTGAGTTGAGGGACATTGTTCTGGATGAGCTGCAAGGCATCCTGCATCTTCTTGTCCGGAAGGCTACTAATACCCTGGGAGATGAGCTGCTTTTCGGCGTAGGTAACAGGGCGGGTCCGTTCGGGCTTAGAGGTCTTGCTCTTCTTGTCCCTCTTCCCGGAAGTGCTCTTCCGAGAATCCTTCTTAGATGACTTCGACTTGCCAGCCTTCTTGGACGACGGAGGGGTCTTCTTCTTCTTATTGGTAATAGCCTCAACCTGGCGGGACATCTCAGCAATCTGCTTCTGGAGCAAAGTGAGTTTCTCATCGTCTTCCTCGCTCTCCTCCGCATCTTCGTCACTGTCCTCATCAGAGTAGTCGCTGTTCTGCTCGGGGTGTGGTTCATGCGCATCGAGGTAGTCGGACTTCTGAGCCCACTTCTGGTTGAAGATCTCTTCGGCTCTCTGGCCACACACATAAGTGGGATCACCTGGAATGTTGAACCGGAAGCAATTCTTAAAGATGAGGCGAACATCCGTTTCAAACTCCTTGGCATTCTCGTATTGACCAGTCTTCAGCTTGGACTGGACGGTAGACAGATCCATTGGCTTTTTGATCACGCTGTGGTAGGTAGGGATGTTCAAAGCAACTGGGTCGACGGGATAGTAGAACGGCATGATCCAGTTGTAGTGCTTTTGCTTGTACAGCTCATCCACAACTTCCTGGCAGAAACGTAGCTCCCACTGGAACTTCTTCTTCTTGGGCTTGGTTGAGTATGGCAGATCGCGCTTCGGGGGATGGATCGAACGCTTTGGGCGGCCATCAGGGTTTGAAGAATCACGACGAATGACAGGCAGTCCCTCCGGTCCCAGCGCAAAGGTCTGAGCCTGGGGAGAAGCAGCCTTGGTCGAGCTTCCCAGCGATGTCCGGGGCTCCCGGCGGGCGGCCGAGGTCTTCTCAGTGGGCTTCTTCGGCTTCTTTTCTTCCACATCTTCGGGCTTGGGGCAATTGGTCATGATCTTCTCAAAAGTCGCCTTTAGCTTGATACCCTCTTGAGTGACCAGGTGCTCAGGGCCGTTGAAGATGGTCGTGTTTTGGACCATGAGAGCAAAGTCGTCTAGGACAGCCTGTGGGGACGAATATTGGTTGGTCTTCAATTTCCTGTCCATAGTTTGCAGGTCCATGGGTTGAGTGATAATGGTGTGATACTGCGGAATGTTCAATTTGATAGGATCCACAGGCTCCCGGTAGAAGCGCGAGTCGTGCAGACGCTTAAGGTTGGTGAGAGTCTTTGAGATGAATCTGTGTTGCATCTTGGTGAGTCCATCTTGGCCGGTGTAAGTACGAGCTTGGTGTTCGGTAGGGGCTTGGGTTTCAGTGGCTGGAGCGTGGAAGTCGGGGGCCTTGGATTCCACCGGTCCAGATTCCTCGCCATCAACCTTGGTGCGCTTGGCAGCTGGCTCCTCGCTGAGGTCCGCCTCACGTTGTCTGGAGATTTTGGAAGGAGACATCGGAGCTTCCGGCGCATCCCTCATCTCCTGGTCAGCGGCAGGCGGAGCTGGGAGAGATGGATGGGCGAGGTCCGGGGTAGGATGGTGAGGAAGTTCGGTCTTCACGGCAGTTGAGAGGCTCTGTGGGGTATCAACGGCCATTTTGTCACTCGCGCCATCAGCCGCTGCAATAGTGGTTGGCGCAGCAACTGGATCCTGTGGGGTGGGGGAAGCGGGCTTCTCAGTACCTGAGACAGCTGCGGCAGGAGGAGCTGCAGGAGCTGATTCCTGAGGCTGCACTGAGTCCTTAGAATCGGTCTGCTGGGTTTCCGCGGGAGTGGCAGACTCGGCAGCAGGTGTCTTGTCTTGGGTCACAGGCGGGGTCTGGTCGGCAGACGCAGGGGCGGGGGATTTAGGAGGGGATGCAGCGGTGCCTGTGCCGTTGGTAATCGATGGCGCGGGGCCGTGGCCATTCAGCGCAGGGGATTTGGCCTCAGGGTCGGCGGGGCTATCGATTTTGAGGGCTACTGCATCTTGCACACTGCGCGCACGTCAGGTCAAGGTAACAAAGCCAATACTGAAACTGAAGAGCTTACCTGGTAGGTGCGACATCAGGCGCAGAAGGGCCAGTGGGCGACGGAGGGAGCTGTGGCTTGTCCTCCTTTGGAACAGGAGGGGCCTCGGGAGGCGGAGTCGCCATTGAGGTGGCGTGGGATGAAGGATACGGGGCGGCA